CATAAACTGGCTACACTCCGCATTCAAGTTGTACGACTGGGGAATTCATATAGATAACCATAGGCTGGCCGGTTATAACAATAAGTTAGTCTTTCCTCTTGGGGCTAGGGCGTTGCATAGGGCAGAGATCATAGCTCTGCATGTGGGGCTGTTCGTTGCCACCTGTTTTGGGTCTTGGATGTCAATTAGTAAAAGTAAAGGACCCTTATCCACGCCTCTAGGCGTATAGGGCATATAGGGCTAGACCTTTATTTTTATAGACCAATCGACCCAAGATGGGTGATGTGGTCAGGCGCCTTTACTTCCCGAGACTGCACCCGGTACCCACTCAAGGCTGGGTCAACATGGGAGCCAAGGTCATTTTTGAAAATTAGTCAGGCTCCGCCTGGGAGCGAACCCACGACCTTCCGATCCGCGGCGAGCGTCTAGCCGCTGGGCCACGGCGACTCCCGATGTCGATTAGGCCCATGGTTAAACCTTCCCTGATGATGGTTCAACGCAGGGTTTCTCTTGATGATCTATGTGTTTTTTTCTCCCTTGATGTTTAAATGAGGGCTTAATGGGGGTGGGCTCTGTGGCTAAGTCGATGCGCCTTGCGTTGGTTTCGACAGTGGTATCAAGAAAGCCAACCGTCCAGAAAGCAATGACAAACTACTGGATGTAACTTGCCTAGAGAAACCACACAACAGCCAGGGGCTGTTTTAGGGTTGGTTCTGCAACGTCCTGTAAAGGATACGCAACTAACCTCTGATGGGGGGTAGAAGGGGGGTGGGGTGGGGTGGGGGGTGGGGGGGGGGGTCTGGTCTTATCCATTCTGAGTTTATGGCCGATGTAGTTCCAGCGACGCTTTCTTAAAAAATTGGATACATTATCTTACTAGGTCTCTTGTCTTATTTGCCTATTGGATCTTAAATCAATAAGGAAATAATAAAAAAATAAAGTAAAAAAAAACAGAAACAAAAGGTAAAGGGTCCCTTCACACACCAGTGTCACATCAGGCATATGAGGCTAGGTTCATACTTTGTGTGATGTGGTCAACATCACATCGACCGCCTTTACTTCCCAGGACTGTAACTGGCACCTATTTAAGGTAGGTGGACCTGGGAGCAAAGGTCATTTTTGAAGAAAGCCCGGCTCCTTCAGGGCCTGAACCCAAGACCTTCCGATTCACAGGCAAGCGTTTAGCCGCTAGACCACGGTGGATTCATAGCTGCAATTTTACTTAATATTTTGAAATATTGTCAAGTGCACCCTTTGATTTCTATTTTCTCAATTTCTTTGAGTTTATGTTCTTCATTTTACTTTATTTATTATATTGTACCAATGATGTCAAATAAGTTTTAGCGAATAATATTCTTATGATTGATGCAACCTCACAAAATAAGTGCCAGTCACTTTTCAGCCTGGAATATGCGAAGGCCGTCTTCGTCTTACCCAAGAACGTGGCATGCCTCGCTGCGGAGGACACGGGTGAGGAGTATTGTATGGATTTTTTTTTTCCACCGGTGTGTTTGTAAATGAGCAGGCGGACAGACTGGCTGGCTCTTCACAACTTGGTGAAATACTGATGCATGATACGGCAGACGTGGTTAGTGCCTTGTAGGAGGAGCAGATGGATCTCCACAGTCTGGTGGGATTGATGCGGGGGGGGGGGGGGAGTGAAGAAGAGAGGTTCTGGCAGATGCTCGAGACTCAGAGGAAAGACAAGACGGACGTTTAATCAGAATGATACTGACACTGTTAATATCGGAACTCTTCACTGGCTGCTGAAGATGGGGACGGAGCGCTAATGGGAGTGCTGTGATGTCGGTTCTTGAATCAAATCAAATCAAATAAACTCCAGAACGCAATACATGCTTCGGGTTTATCTTAAATTTTTTAGAATATACTAGAGATGTATTCTCCTCATGACTTTTCCAACCGGCAACGAATTGATGCATATGAATCTGAACAGTAATTAATTGATTGGAACCTTTCTGTCTTTCCAGATAATAGTGTTATATTGCTCTGTGAGGAGACATGGGACTCACAGCCAGTGGCCAGTATGACTAGCAAGACCCATCCGCGTTAAGAAAATTCTTCCACAATTACAGCATGAAATTTCAGGACCTTTGTTTTCATCATTTGTATTTAGTCTGTTTCTTCTCAGATGTTCATCTCTCATCCTTTCTGTCATTTTTTTCTTCCTTCATTCCCATTCCTTTCCTGAAGTGCCACCTCCACATAACACGGTCCATGGCATTTAGTTTCCACGAGTCTACCTCAATTCCCTTATCATTCATGCCCTGCGTGCACACACTTTTATATCGATGTAGAGGTGGGCTCGACATCTTCTACTAATCTGTAATTTACTACACAGGATGTCCTTAGGCCGTCCTCCATTCTCCAGGTGTAAACCTGCTACTTGAGCCTTCTTTGACTGAGCATTGGGAAAACTGTCGTACCTGAGCAGTAGTTAAGATAAATGCTGACAATGGACATTCTGCCGCTTAAGAAGCTCAGTAGGTAGAAAGGGAGTTACCTATGGGAGAGACACACTAAATATAGCTGGTGTAGAAGATAATAGCAGGCCGGTTTGTTAACCTACTGCCGCTGCTTGGCGAAAAGAATAGGTACCTGCCAGATCTGCCAGGGGCGTCCACACAAAGGAAATATTGGAGGTGGAAAGATGGAGTGGGAAGGGACAAGCTCAACCTCCTAGCACAATTTTTAGGGGAAGGGATCAAGAGATGTAGGTCTTGTTTAAGAGCTTAAAAATTAAAAAAATAATTTACTGAATATACAGAAGTCAAGTAAAGGACTACTTTCCACGTCTTTAGGTGTATTGGGCATACATGAATGGTGTGTGTGTGTGTATATATATATATATATATATATATATATATATATATATATATATATATATATATATATTTATCATGAAACCGTCTTGGTAGCATTTTGGAAGGTTTACTTTCATTAGTTTCAGGGCGTAATGCACATTACGACTAGTTTAACAGGGGTCAAATAAAATGTATTCAATTTTCTGGCGCAAAATCGCAACTTAGTGACCTAGCGCCAAAATAAGACGTCGGTCAAGGTTGTTGAGTCAAAGGTGCTTCCACAAATTAGTGTTGAGTTATTGTTTCATATAGCTAGCTTATAAAAGCTGACATACACTTCAATATCAAAATGATTTTGCAATTGCAAAACTTTAACTTTGCAGAAGGTTACCGTTTTACTGTACCAGTACTTCCTCAGGGAATCTAAGATGGGTCATTTATATTGTGATTTTCATGACCCAGAGAAACGAACACGATTGGCGCTTGGTCTGGATAGAGCATCATTTACCCGTTGGTTTAGACAGGACAGAGAGTACACTCATGTCAAGCACGAAAGAAAAATGAAAATTGATGACTTTGATGTAGATGTCATTAGACGTGAGATGTTAAAATTTTTTAGAGACAAATTAACTTGCTACTCTCCAAAACTGAAATTAAGATTGAAATCACAATGCATAATGACATTTCAAAAAAGTCCTTCTTAAAATAGACATTCATTTCTGGAAAAAAAGTATGTTGAACATGTGCTCCGAGAGGAACACGAGTACTGGCACCGAGATGGATTACAATTTGTTCAGCCAGTAATAATTTTTAACCTTTTGGGATTGTCAGATTCATAATGATTAAAACCATTTTTTTTTTGGATGGTTCAATATCATCAACCCCTAGGTACATCTACAATTACAACAAATACATCTCTATATCAAAATGTTTCAGCCATAATACAATTTGCTGTTCAGTTAAGATACACCGTGGGGTCTGATAGTGACTCAAGGGGAATACTAACTGTTGTATATTGGGGACATGTTTACAATTGAACAAGGCAGACGGGTTGGCTGGATCTGCTCCACTGGGTGGTGAGTTGATACATGACAAGGCAGATGTGGTCAAGGCCCTTTGGGAACAAGTAATGTAATCAGAAGAGACAATAGATTATCATGGCCTGAAGAGATTGATACACCTGGGTGTGACCAGAGAACCTGGCCGGCACACTATACTCAGAGAAATGGCAAGATGAACATATATATAATAAGATTGCGTCCGGTACCATCAGTATTGAAACTCTGCGCTGGCTGCTGAAGATGGGGACGGAGCACATATAGGAATACCCCGAGGGCTGTGATGTCTTTCTTGACTCAGCTCAATTTAACTCATTTGAACATAAATGACAACGAATAAATTTACTTCACCTATCAATATATTATTAAGACACGCCTATGCCAGAAAATAGAACCGGAAGTTCAGATTTTTACTGTAAGATCTAAAATTTCACTCATCTTATTTGTAATGGTTGTATAGATCAAAGGAATTGGCTAATATTTAGCATCCTGAGCATCTATACACTAAAGAATATAGTTATTTTTGAATCATCGATTTTCTAAGGCTGCATGCAAAAAATCGTTGGGGTCTAACGGGCAGTTTTTGTGAAAATGACCTGCAAGTGCTTTCACGAGATGTTGAACAAACTATAGTTTGTTTACATTCACCGGCTGTAAACACCAGCAGAAGGACCTGGTTGTTCTTCCATTTCTGGACTCTGACTTTGTTCCAGGACCTGCATTTGGCGTGTGCATCTGTTTTACGGATCTTGCTTACTAGTGTGTAGACTGTTGGTTCCTTACCTCTCAGGCTGATGCACTCCGACTTCGAAGGAAGTTCTCAATAAGTCAACTCTTTCGACATGCTTGTTGGGGAGGCATTGGTCCTTTTCTTGTTTTCCCCACAGTGGGGTCCTGGAACCCGCACGGGGAAGCTGACACTATTGACACGTGAACTCCTCATTTCCCTACTGAACAAATGAGACAGAGAACGTGTAAGTATGTCCTGAGTGTAGTGGTGTCAGTTCATTCATTCATTCATTCATTCATTCATTCATTCATTCATTCATTCATTCATTCATTCATTCATTCATTTATGCATTCACATTTTCTCTTCTCTTTGAACTCAGGTTACGGCAATATGTCGCCTAAAACATGGAACGGGCAGCTCTTCTGCATCTTCTACGCGGTCATTGGTATTCCCATGTTCGCTACAGTACTGGTTGGAACTGGAGAAAGGCTGCAGATACCCATAAAAAAAGTGCACAAAGGGAGACCGTGGCTGAAGAACAACGCGTCTAGAGATGAGAAACTCAAGTCGATAGTACTTTTGTCAGTGGGTAAATAAGACATTTTGTGGACGTTTATAAAATTGTGTTGTGGTGTTGTTCCTAGCCTCTCTGCTTTGCCCTGAAAAGATGCGGTTCAATACTGCTTTTTTAAAAATATTTCCTCGCCTTTAGGTGTGTTGGGCATATAAGACTAGACCTATATTTTATTTACAAATCGGCACTTGGTGGGTGATGTCGTCAGTATCACGTGGGTCACCTTTACTTCCCAGGAGTGTACCTGGTACCCATTTAAGGCTCGGACGACCAGTTGCCGAGGCTATTTTTGAAGGCCGGCTCGGCCGGGACCTGAACCTACGACCTTTTGATCGACAGGCTGGTGTCTAGCCGCTGCTAACGGCGGCTCACTGTAGAGACTGTACACGTCATCAGTGTTATGAGCACAAGTCTGATGCAAGTACCATGATAACAGCAGACGGAAGCAAAGGCATCGAAATCTGGGAGCTTAGGATTCTGGAGCCCAGTATTTGCTGGACTTTACGAGCCATATTTAGCATCTGTTAAGACTTCTGTTAATACGTTTACTGACATTTGAAACGTGACTACTCGAAGAAAGTGTGATTCGTCATTTTATCAGGATAAGAGCGGCACAGTGTGTTTGTGGCCTTATATTGATCGTAAAGACATATCACTTTGTTTGTTCAACCGTACCGTCAAATCAGAACTGTTGTAAAGAACAGAAACGCAGAGAAAGAATAAACAATTACTAAAGACTACGACAATATTTAATTGTACAACACCAGAACACAATGTATTAAATGGTATTTTCTTTTTCTCATTCGTTGTGCTCACCGGGTATAATCGCTGGTAAACGTTCTTATTGTTCACCTGCTTCTGGACTTTATTTTCGTTTCAGAACTTCAGCTCTTCGTGCACGTCCTTTGCTTGCCGGCGTTTGCTATACATAGAGACAAAGAAAAAACAGAAATGTTCTAATTCGTTTTAAAAAGAAAAAAAAAAACATAATTGGAGACAAATGCTAAAAGAAAATACTTAAGAAAGAGAAAGCTATAGACAAGAAAATGTTCAATACATTTCAGAAAACTGGCAACTTCAACTAAAGAGAGTAAAGAAATTATTATCATGTGTAAACACACCAGAGGTGGGGTCGTGTAAAATAACTTGTGCAATAATCGATACAGTTGCTGGAAATAAACAACGTTTGGCGTGGTCAATAAAGTTTTCAGTTCATAAACAAATTAGCTTCATTCAGCCGCAGACGTCGGTGCCTATGTCTGTGGGCTTAAGGCTTATTAACTTAACTTCGTAATTCCAACATGCCGGGTTTGATTCAGCTGCAGACAATAGCACAACAGACGTGGGGGTGGGGCAACCAGGAAATATGGTTAGTAGCAGACCAACACGAAGATGGGCGTATGGCACCTTGGGTAGAAAAGCTGGCGAGAGTTTATTTCAGACAGACCGTTTATGAGAGCGAAGTTCTACAAAGGACCTGCCACGTGACGATGACTGGTGCCATTTATTTAAACGTTTGTTTAAACGTTTGTTTTCAGGGACGTGTTTGCTGGTATTTATCCCATCACTTGTATTCGATGTCACACAGAACTGGAGTTATCTAGAGTCTGTGTATTACACTGTTATCACGTTAACTACAGTTGGGTTTGGAGACTTGGTACCAGGTAATGTTATAAATGTTTGTTATTCATTTTTTTTTTGGTCACTTGTTTTTTTTCTTCTTCTTCTTGTTCGACTTACTTCTTCTTCTTTGTATTTTTTTCAAAGTTCAGCAGTCGTCCTCATGTGGGATGCAATTTATTGTTGTTGAAACCCCACCCTGGCTTTTGCCGAGGGCCTGAATATAGCCAGGCCATAAATATGGCCAAAGGCCTGAAAGTGGTTTTTGGGACCTCTCCACGGGTGATCCTCATCCGCATGGTGGAACTTTGTGTCACCGGGTGATTATATAATTTTTTTATTAACATATGTAAAGAAATCCGTTTATATATTTAGATAACAAGAGTAGTGAAGAAGTCTTGAAAGCAGCTGACACATGAAGAGAACATAGCCCACATCAGAAAAAGACAATCTACGTACTTTGCTCATGTGATGAGAATAAGAAAATTTGATTACATCGTGACAGTAGGAAAGTTGGAGGGGAGGAGAGGCAGAGGGAGACCATTAGAAAAGATGCTGGACAGTTTGATATTATGGCATGGAGGATCAGCTGTGTCAGAGTTGACTGAAAGTACACGAAGCAGAAGGTTGTTGATAGACATGACTACTAATGCCACTCGACATGGACTTTACACACACACACACGCGCGCGCGCGCACGCACACACACACACTTTACAGTATTTTGCATTTATTTTTGAATTAACTGTTTATAACTATTAACAAAATATTTATTTTATATCTTCCTACAGGTTATTTCGAAAAACCAGGTCATTCACTTTATAATGCATGTTTTGCAAAGCTGCACTAACTAGCTTATTGTATTTTATGGCTTTCCCCTCTAGAGAACAAAAGTGTCGTTACTGATCCCAATGTGTCTAATACAGTAGCACTAACAAAAAAACAAAAAAATTGATGCCTTTAAAAGATGCCGGTACTGTTGTTGTGTACCGTTGTCTCCAATCTGTTGCAAAGAACCTTTTATTATTTCCTTTATTTCCTTTTCACTTAGCATGCCTTTAAATAACACGCTAAAGCTGCTTTCGTGTCATAGACAAACTATATCGTAGACAGCTTTTTACGAACAAATAGCTTGTGTTTTGTTACTGTTGCTTCGCTTTAGTCTGTGTGGAGGGTTGAAGTGTTACTTGTGTTTTTAGGTAAACAGGTAGCGCATTTGTATGTCTTGTACGCACTGTGGCTTTCTAGCACTAACAGAGCGAGATGTGTGCAATTGTTTGCATTTGCATGTAACTTGATCTACTTGTTTCCTCATGCAACCCTCAAGAGAATGATGGACTAACCTTATAAATGCCACAGAAGTTGAAGAATGAGTATCACGTAGAACACCAACATGCTGTGGTATTTATAGGGTTAGTCCATCATTCTCTTGAGGGTTGGCTTGGAATGTGTTGACAAGGAAATAACTAAAATATGGAGTGGGCAGGCACCCAAGGCCTGATACCAGACCATTCTCGCTGTAAGAATCATGGCCTGGTTACATCATAATATGCTTCTCCGCGAATATTCAAGTATCAGTCTTAAACACCCTGATGGTTTTTAGGCGTGGTGAGGGTCAGAAGAGTTTTGTGAGATAGTCTCAGGAGGTTGGTGAGGGTTAGAAGAGTTTTGTGAGATAGTCTCAAGAGGTTGGTGAGGGTTAGAAGAGTTTTGTGAGATAGTCTCAGGAGGTTGGTGAGGGTCAAAAGAGTTTTGTGAGATAGTCTCAGGAGGTTGGTGAGGGTTAGAAGAGTTTTGTGAGATAGTCTCAGGAGGTTGGTGAGGGTCAGAAGAGTTTTGTGAGATAGTCTCAGGAGGTTGGTGAGGGTTAGAAGAGTTTTGTGAGATAGTCTCAGGAGGTTGGTGAGGGTCAGAAGAGTTTTGTGAGATAGTCTTAGGAGGTTGGTGAGGGTCAGAAGAGTTTTGTGAGATAGTCTCAGGAGGTTGGTGAGGGTCAGAAGAGTTTTGTGAGATAGTCTCAGGAGGTTGGTGAGGGTCAGAAGAGTTTTGTGAGATAGTCTCAGGAGGTTGGTGAGGGTTAGAAGAGTTTTGTGAGACAGTCTCAGGAGGTTGGTGAGGGTCAGAAGAGTTTTGTGGGACAGTCTCAGGAGGTTGGTGAGGGTTAGAAGAGTTTTGTGAGACAGTCTCAGGAGGTTGGTGAGGGTCAGAAGAGTTTTGTGGGACAGTCTCAGGAGGTTGGTGAGGGTTAGAAGAGTTTTGTGAGATAGTCTCAGGAGGTTGGTGAGGGTCAGAAGAGTTTTGTGAGATAGTCTCAGGAGGTTGGTGAGGGTTAGAAGAGTTTTGTGAGATAGTCTCAGGAGGTTGGTGAGGGTTAGAAGAGTTTTGTGAGATAGTCTCAGGAGGTTGTTGAGGGTCAGAAGAGTTTTGTAAGATAGTCTCAGGAGGTTGGTGAGGGTCAGAAGAGTTTTGTGAGACAGTCTCAGGAGGTTGGTGAGGGTCAGAAGAGTTTTGTGAGACAGTCTCAGGAGGTTGGTGAGGGTCAGAAGAGTTTTGTGAGATAGTCTCAGGAGGTTGGTGAGGGTCAGAAGAGTTTTGTGAGACAGTCTCAGGAGGTTGGTGAGGGTTAGAAGAGTTTTGTGAGATAGTCTCAGGAGGTTGGTGAGGGATAGAAGAGTTTTGTGAGATAGTCTCAGGAGATGATTCTTTGGTAACGGATCGGTAGGGATAGTAAAGACTATCACTGCGGGCAGATCCATACGTGCTCCTATCTCCTTTATTAACAGCTTCACAAGAGATAATCAACTGATCCTGCCTGTTCTGTGTTGATTGCATTTATGCCTTGGACCCTTAGTAAAATGTTCTTGGCTACTCCATGCTGCGCTCTTACGCCCACCAACCTGGACAAGGGTACTTTCATCCTTCTTGCTGTCATGATTTTCTTCGTGATATGAATCTCTCCTGGCATCATTCTGGTGCCTGGTCAGTTATAGTAGCCGCACTGAACGCCAGATTATCTGCTCGCTTATTGCCTCGAACACCCGGAGGCGGCCACTTTTACTTGCCAGGATTCAGTCAGCTATGAAGAAACCTGTAACCTGGAAAACATATTTTTTAGTGTTTATGGGAGGAGTTGCATAAAATGTCAGTGATAAGAAGGCTTGCTTTGAGTTGGTTAAATATCTGCCACACAGAGGGCTAAAAGAAAGGTGGAAAAAAACCTCCAGATTGTAATACTAATACCGCAAGCCAGTGACTCTGCAACAATCGAAAGTTAAATTAAAAACGATCACCATTTACCAACGAGCACTAGAACTTGGGCCTTTAAACACCGTCCCCCTCCCCCACAAAAATATTAAGAGGAGTTCAGCCCTACCCCCTTGTGCCCCTTTCCCTAACAAATGACAAAGGAGGTAAGCTGACCCCTCTCCCCCACCCCCAACCTCCCATACAGCCATGTTGAGAATTAAAAAAAAAATACACACTACGCTATTTGTGATATATCATTATATTTATTTTGTATTTCATCACATTATTATTATTGATGTTATTATTTCAAAGCAATTAAGCAAGACTTAGATCTCTTCGGTGTCTTTGCCCTACCACTGAAAATTTGAAATGGCGCCTGATGCCCCATGTTTTCCATGCTTTAGCGCCCCTGTGAATACCTTTAGTGCTCATTATCTGGGGAAAAGCTTCACGAGTCAACTGCGTGGTTGTTTTACCGCACACAGGGAATAATCTGCTGCTTGTTCTGGCTATGGCATCGTTGCTGTGTCTACCTGTAGAAACATTCTCATGATTAAACACCTCACCATTAGTTTCTGCAGTTCTGACTTGTCTGCTGCCACATATTTCACATTTGACGTGTGTCTGTGCACATGCGGGAAGCCCTGTTAGCGCAGTAGCAAGCATGTTTGCCTGTTAGTACGGTAGCTATACGTTTAAATCCCTATTGTCCCCGTGTGGGTTCCGGGACCCTATTCCAACAAGCATGTAGTAGGAGTAAACTAACTGGGGGCTTCCTTCAAAGTCGGAGTGCATCTGCCCGAGAGGCGAGGAAAAAATCGACTGCACACAAATAAGCCAGCAAAAATGGATGTACACAAAAAAACTCAGACCCAGGCACAAAGCCAAAGTTCAAATGGACGAACAACAAGAACTTTCCACCAGAGCTTACAGCCGGTGAAAAAAAAGAAGAAGAAATCCCCATTGAAACTGGAATATTTATGTAACCAGGACTCTTATTTTGACTCAGCCTACAATGCGTTTGGCAGCTGTCGTGGTGAATCTGCTAGAGCTCTCCTTCCGATACAGAGGTCATTTGTTCAAATCGAAGCGGTGTCGGACTTGCTTCTTCATTTAAAAAAAAAATAATTTCATTTGGTTGCTAGGTCGAACACGCCTCTAATGGGCACTAGGCAATTTCCCGGGAAGTAAATTCGGTTGACGTGATGCTGATCATATCACCCACCGCGTCCTGATTAGTCTATAAATTATAGGCCTAGCATTTTATGCCCAATACACCCGAAAGTGGGAAAAAAGTGTCTTTTTCGTACTGTTTGCCCAGTACACTCGAGGGCATAGATAAAAGATAAGGCCTTTAAATACTATATACACAGAACATTCGAAGACATCGTAAAAAAGGTCTTTTACGTTACTACTTTCGGTATTAGAGGGGTCTGCGTGATCTCGATGTATGGTGTCAGCCTTGAGTGTTAGAGGTTCTGGGTTCAATCCCGGTAAGGGCTTGGATTCTTTCAGGTGGACTTGGACTTCTAGTAATTCACCCTAGTCTCTGGTTAGTGAGATCGGACGCCCGTGTGCATTGTTTTGCACGTAAAAAAATCCCTTGGAATTTAGAAGTCGAAAACAGTAGCCTAACGGCGCTGCCTGGGAAAGGAAAAAAAATGTGTAGTTAAAAATCTACCCAAAGTATTTTAGGACACTCGCTGGTGCTACAGAGCCTGCGCACTGTGCTGAGCATCTTCAGACTCAGACTTGAAGAAAAACGGAACACTTATGGGTTACTACCCGTTGGCCATGATGTGGATCCGTTGTTCAAACCTCAAACCTTTGGGTATTAGAAAATATGAAAAGGCGGGAATTCTATTGACCTCATTACCCATTGAGTATCAAGTGGTCTATAAATACACAGGGATACCAACACGCACCCATTTAAGCAAGACTTGGATCTCTTCGGTGTCTCTGCACTACCACTGAAAATTTGAAAGGGCAACCAAGCAGCAATAGGGCACCAGCACAGCAATCAGCGCGAGGCAAACCAAGCACCAGCAACAATCAACTAAAACCCCCTGATATTAGCACTAAGAGAACTGGACCACACCAGACCCACAAACCACAAGCACCACATCCCAGCAAGGAAGCAACGAACCGGGATATCAGGTGTGACTACACACCACAAATAAAAGGAAACCAAATAAGACAACCAAGGAACCTTCCTTCATATAGCAGGCCTCCGGGCAGCTGAAAAAGGATCAAGTTTGGAATTTTTGTTGAACAACTGGAATAGAATAGACACGCACACAACACGCACCCAACACGCACCCAATAAGCACCCAATACCCATCAAAGCTAGAGCAAGTGTCTTTTAACTGTTTTTGTTACAACGGAAGGCAAGGGGAAACCACCGCTGTACTATCCCAAGAAAATCATGCCTCAAAATAATACGTATTCAGATAACGACGTGAATGGGGATTCCGGTGGAATCACCTCATCCGGTAGGGAGCATCATGTTAAACGGGTGATACCCGACCGTCATCCAGCTACTGTAGAAAAAGTAAATGGTAGAAACATCATTAACATTGGTACATGGAATGTCAGAACACTCGTACAAAACGGAAAACTGGATAACATCAAGATGGAAATGAAGAGAATGAACATCAACATACTGGGAATTAGTGAAATGAGATGGCCAGGAGCAGGGGAAAAGTATTCAGATCAGCACAGAATTATCTACTCGGGTGGGAAGGAATATAGTAAGGGAGTTGGTATTATTTTGGATCCAAAGAACTCAAAAACTGTTAAAGGATTTTGGACAATATCAGATAGAGTACTATTAGTAAAACTTCGCGGCAGACCGGTTGACATCAACTTAGTACAGATTTATGCCCCAACAGCAGATAGTTCAGAGGAAGACATTGACGCATTCTATGATGAGTTAGACATGGCTGTTGATCAATGCAAAAATTGTGAAGTAACAATGGTACTTGGAGATTTCAACGCAAAAGTAGGAAGTGAAAAAGTGTACGGAATAACGGGTGGCTATGTACTAGGAGAAAAGAATGTGAGAGGTGACAGATTAATAGCATGGGCTGAGTCGCGCTGCATGATAATAGGTAACACCTGGTTTAAACACTATCCTCGAAGATTGTGGACTTGGAAAAGTCCTGGCGATAATGTCCGCAATCAGATTGATTATATTTTGATTTCAAGAAGATTTCAGAGCAGCTTAGTTGGAGCAAAAACTAGACCAGGGGCAGACTGCTTTAGTGACCATGTTCCGGTTGTAGGAAAAATTAGAATAAAACTAAAGAACATTAGAAAAACACCACAGAACATCAAGTTAAATTTAGGAATTCTTAGAACGGATAAAGAAATTAAGGAACAGTACAACGTCACTGTACAAAACCGGTGTAATGCAATGGAAATTATACAGACTATTGATGAACAGTGGGATATGTTGCGTGAGTCAATTCAGCAGACATCAAAAGAGACAATCCTACCAACCGATACAGTTGCAAAAAAGAAATGGATGTCAACCGAAATTCTGCAGTTGATGGATGAAAGAAGGAAGAAGAAGGAAGAAAAAGAATGATAAAGAAGAATACTCTAGAATACTAAAAGAAATAGTGAACAAATGCAAAGTGACTAAAGAAGCCTGGCTGAATCAAATGTGTACAGAGATTGGGGAAAATCACGGGAAAGACTCACATTCCATGTACCAACAGATAAATATGTTAACAGGAAAGATGACAAGTAACAGCACTGGATGTTTGAAATCAAAGGATGGTGACTTATTAATGGGACATAGTAATATAATTAACAGATGGACAGAGTATATAGGGGAATTGTATGATGATAATAGACCAGACGTAGAACTGCAGACCAGCACATGATGGTCCACCAATAATGACTGCAGAAGTTGAGGATGCAATACATTATATGAAGAAAGGAAAAGCACCCGGGCCAGACAACATCTCACTGGAAGAAATCGAAGCACTGGGAAATTTTGGAATTGAAATAATAACTAAACTTTTAAATGATATTTATAACAGTGGGTATATTCCAAACGACCTTTTAAAATCCATATTTATAGCTCTGCCGAAGAAACCAGGCACTTTAAAATGTGAAGACCATCGCACAATAAGTCTTATGAGTCACATGACTAAGATTTTACTGAGAATAATTATGAGAAGAATAAGAAACAAAATTAAACCAGAAATCAGCGATGAGCAATGTGGATTTGTAGAAGGAAAAGATACAAACAATGCCATATACATCCTAAGGACATTGTCAGAAAGAGCTATAGAAGTAAAGACTGATTTGTAATTATGCTTCATAGACTATACAAAAGCATTTGACTGTGTGAAGCATGAAGAAGTAATCAAACTGTTAGAAAAATTAAACATTGATGGGAAAGATCTAAGAATAATAAAGAATATGTATTGGCAGCAAACAGCAGCTATAAGAATTAACAACTGTTTAGGTACATTTCAAAGCATAAAGAGGGGCGTACGACAAGGATGTGTACTTTCACCTGATTTGTTTTTAATATACAGTAAATATATTATGAGATCTTTAATTGATATGCCCAGAATCGTGGTTGGTGGGCACAATATAAACAATTTACATTATGCTGATGACACAGTCTTGATAGCAACAAGTCAGAAAGAATTACAGGAAATGATAGACATTGTGGTGTTAGAAAGTGGAAGAATGGGCCTCAGTTTGAATATTGGGAAGACAGAAGTAATGGTGGTATCAAAGAAACAAATTATTCCTAAATGTATAATAAAAGTCAATGGTGTTATTTAAAGACAAGTACAGAAATTTAAGTATCTGGGCACATGGATAACATCAGATGGAAGATGCATAACTGAAATAAGAAACAGAATTGGACAGGCAAAAACTTCATTTTATAAAATGAAAAACATCTTGTGCAATATATCCTTGTCATTAAGAGATAGAAAAAGAATTCTTGCTTGCTACATACATCCAGTTTTAACATATGGATGTGAATCCTGGACAATCGGTAGGCAGGCCAAACAATTTTTAGAGGCCTCAGAGATGTGGTTTTACAGAAGAATGCTTAGAATACCTTGGACAGCCAAAAAGAGCAACCAAGAGGTTTTAAAAGAGGCGGGAGCCCGAAGACAACTTATCACTGACATCAGAAGGAGACAGTCATCATTTTTCGGCCATGTTATGAGAAGAGGGAAAATAGAACATGTTGTGACCACTGGAAAGATCTGTGGAAGGAGGGATAGAGGAAGACAACGAGAGAAGATGCTTGACAGTCTTGTTGCATGGCACGGAGGTGTGTCGGCACACGAACTGATACATGCTGCAGGAGATCGAGGATTATGGAGAGGCATGATCGCCCACGCCAGTCGGCAAGGCACCTGATGATGATGATTACAACGCAGCTGTGACATTAAACAGAGGGAATGCTGCAGAGCATGGTAAACTTTTCTTTTCTTTATATATATATATATATATATATATATATATATATATATATATATATATATATATATATATATATATATATATATGGTGGATTGACTATATTGTTATATTCTGTTTAGCAGGAATGGAAATATGCAGCAAGAAACATGAAAGAACGTGTTCAGTGCGTTCTATATATAAACTATGTAACTTAAACTAATGAGAATAAAGAGATATACACAATTTGTTAACACTGTAAGGATCTGTTTTAAAATTATCACTACAATGTGGATATTTGCAGAAAATAGAACATAAAATAATCGATGTTTCAAATAAGCAAGGGATTGAAGTGTAAAGTCGAGAGCATCATTACAAAACGTTATGATTCCAAATACATATCCATTTCAATGTGTTCTTTTAAATGTCATTTCTATATTTGTAATTTTTTTTTTGGGGGGGGGGGGGGTGGGGGGGGGGGGGGGGGGGGGGGGGGGGGGGGGGGGGGGGGGGGGGGGGTCTTGATTTGAAATGTACAATTTAGTATCTCCGTAACTAAGAAACATTCTTAAATTGTTGCACAGTTTACATTTTATCTGCGGCACTTACTTTAGAATTTAGACTGCATTTGTTTTGGAAATACACACGTATTTTCTGCTTTTCAGACAGCAAAGAATGAACAATCATTTGGCGTCAGTTATTCTACACGGAGATTAAACACAGAGTAATGACATGATACAGAAATTGGAGGAAGTTATGACGTGGTCTTTGAGAGGCGTATTAATAATATCTTAGACAAAGAAAAACCAATACTGTAAAAACATCTTTTTTACGCTGTTGGTGCATTTGGCATTTTGTGTTAGGTCAAATTTGTCTTATAGACCAGTCAACACTGAAGGGAAAATGAGATCGACATCATGCTGGTAGCTCTTACATCACACAAAAATTGACTAGTGGCCATTCAAAGCTGGATGGATATAGAAGCAAAGGTCACTTATAATAAAGGACCCATCGGTACGGATTCGAAACCACAGATTTGTAAATGTATGTTAAAATTTTTAAACAAATAAGAACTTGCCTTACTGAAAAAAAAAAAAGAAAAAAAAACGCTCAATGCAATGTTCAGTACAAGTATTTGACAGGAAAAAAATCTTAGGGAAATTAAACTAATTGTGGGCTCCCGGGAGAATAAGCTCAAACAATATCAGTCAATGGGTCATAGTATTTTGGAAGTTTGTTTATACATAACCTTTTATTTTCAGCTGAGACACAAACAAAGAAAGAAAACGTGTACAGAGTCATTCTAGGTTTGTGGATACTTCTTGGTTTGTCGTGGGGAGCTTTGATACTTAGTGAAATAGGTTCACTGTTACAGGTGAGGTTTTTTATTGCAACTACCTGTAGTTTTTTGTTGTTCAGCATCTGGGTCATGTTGGACCACTGCCTATATTTTACAAGTGCTCGTGGTATATTCCTCTATACCTGTCTACCCTGTGAAATTAAATAGAATCCAGTCCAGTGCCTTTTGCTTCTTTCATCAACTTTCACTTTACAGTTTCTCTCAGACGACTCTGTTTCTCTGTCTGTCTATTTCATAGCAGAGGATAGTTCCATTTGCAATGAACTGGGTGCGATCCTGTGCTCTACTGGAGAATAAAGGGCGAAAATAGAAGAAGAAGAAGAAGAAGAAAGAAAGAAAGAAAGAAAGAAAGAAAGAAAGAAAGAAAGAAAGAAAGAAAGAGAGAAAGAAAGAAAGAAAGAAAGAAAGAAAGAAAGAAAGAAAGAAAGAAAGAAAGAAAGAAAGAAAGAAAGAAAGAAAGAAAGAAAGAAAGAAAGAAAGAAAGAAAGAAAGAAAAAAAGAAAGAAAGAAAGAAAGAAAGAAAGAAAGAAAAAAGAACAATTTATGCAAAGGTAATGGTAATTGTAGTGAAATGTAGTTAAATATTGTTCCTTTATTGAATTTCTTGTTAATATCTTGTATTGTATTATCATCTGTTTATTGCAATAATTTTAATGATATGCAGGGTATTGTAGTTAGTTAATTAGATTTTAATAATTAATAAATTACTGGTATTAGTTTGTTACACAAAGGTGTACCTCTCGGTTAATGGATCTTCTATTCGAAGCCCCATCAAAATGTGTTTTGATAATTGACACGTGCCTCCTCATTACTGTCGTTTTGCCATTTCTGGCCGAATCTGAGAGCTTTGATTAATTTTAGGAACAGTTTTGGGGATTTGAACACCCCCCTCCCCCACCTCAAAACTTTACACAATATGTCCTGCAGATAAGTGTGCCAGCTACCACTCAGCGTATACCAAGAGTTAGGTTAGTTGCGTATCCTTAACAGGACGTTGCAGAACCAACCCCAGCAGCCCCTGGCTGTTGTGTGGTTTCTCTAGGCAAATTTACGTCCAATAGTTTGCCTTTGTACTAAATGGTCGGTCCATGATACCACTGTCAGCAGATCTGTCTTGCATATAAGTGTGCCAGCTACCACACTCCAGAGGCTCCTCATACTATAGGGGTACCAAGAATACTCGAGAATTATTTCAGTGTCATTGTGCAATAACTCTAATACATTTGGACGTCATGTGTTTGTCAATACAGTCAGAAATAACATCAGCAGCTAATCAAACCCAACAAAAACTCAGTGACCTGGAGCACATAGTCAGAAAAAAGGCCAAGGAAACAAGGGATAAAATAGTCAGAAAGGTAAATCGTTATCTTCATAATCCTAAGTCTTTCACATTCCATTTATAAAGTGAAATTATAACAAGTTATCTCTATATATGAATTGCGAGGATTTCTTTCCTTTGTTTATTGCGTAATATTCTATTCTACATGACTGTTTCTTTTTATCTTGATTCTAGTCTATTACATAGAACAAAAACTTGAAACTACTTTTTATTTCATGTTTTTATGTGTTTATTTGTGTAAAGTTTGTATGTATTTATTTATTTTATGCAGTATAATTATTGACGCATACTTTGAATTATTCATGGTGTTATATTTAACAATCCAATTATTAAATAAAGCCACCGTACTTTTGGTTATAGAAAATAAGAAGTCTTTGCTTCATTTACGTAGGCAGAGGAAATTCCAGGACTGATAAATGTCAATTTGGCTGTGAAAATGTTTGGCTGTATGTAACATATTCAGGACCATACAATAGTGAAGTTGATTGACCAGTTCTCTTTTATAAGGCCAGGTCGATTTATGGACCCAATCATTATGTGTCCTGCCCACTGGCGTAGGCGTTCATGCATCTTTACAGATCCCGCCCCCTTGATTTCTGGATCACTTCCACAGATGACATTTTTCCTTGCCATCGTCGCAGTCCATCCGTCATCTTCTCTCTCGGTCTGCCTCTTCGCCTTCCACTGTTGATCTTCCCAGTTGTTATAATCTTCTCCAAAGCCTTCCCCCTCAACACATAACAAGAGAACACTGCTTGTCTTTTCCTTATAGCTGTATATATTAGATTTATGGACATAGAAAAAAAAATACTTTAGACAGATTAAGAAATGAGCCGCTGAAAAGAAACATGTCGAATACATGTAGTGGCAACAATAGTCCTGAAATCTGGTGCATTGTTTGTGGGAGATTTTTTTTAAAGCTAAATATTCTTCTAGTTCCCACCCCATAGCAAAATATAGCACTATCGTCTGGAAAGACGGAAAAGTGCCAGCAAATTCTGATGTAGTCCTGATCGGGAGCAGACATACAATCAATACGCTCGCATTTCCGGTCATCTCATTTGGTCGACTTCGCAGCCACGTGTAGACAAAATTTAAAATCGGCGAATCAGCCATGTCTGGACTGGCACCTGAGACAACAGATCACATCCTCTAAGACTGCCCCAGATACAACATATCAAGGCCAAGAGAAACATCGGTGCAAGTTAAACTTTACAAGTCACTGAGTGAATTAAGAAAGACAGTCAAGTTTATACTGAAGACGACATTGCATGTATAGATAGTCTATTTCAAGTGAACGAAAGAAGAAGAAAAAGAAGAATTATTTGGTATTGCATAAATTGTGTTGCCTAGGTAAGTAAGCTTTATATTAAAAAAAAAATCATTTTCCTTTTCTCTGTGACTCTATGGATTTTTGAAGCGTTCTCAACGGATGCATTAGACACATCCTCCTCCCTCATCATTATTATATTGTGCTATTATAAAGCACAAAGAAGGACTAGTAGCCTACTATTCCATTCCATTCTATCCGGGGCAAAACTTTCGATATCATAAATGGAATCCAGTTCAGCACATTTGATCTCTCTCATCAACTTCCGTCGGCTCTGTGGCTAAGTCGATGTGAACGCTTCGTAATGCCGGGATGCCGGGTTCGATCCCAGCTGCGGGTCGTGCGCCTTGCGTTAGTTTCGCCAGTGGTATCAAGAAAGCCTACCGTCCAGAAAGCAATGGCAAACTACTGGACGTAAATTTGCCAAGAAAAACCACGCAACAGCCAGGGGCTATTGGGGTTGGTTCTGCAACGTCCTGTAAGGGATACGCAACTAACCTTCAGCTTCCGCTAAGAGTTTTCATTAAATGTCCTCGTTTCCTTAGTCCATTTGTTTCTCATTTCAGTGGCTGTTTGGCGATTCTCTGCTCTATTCTTCTTAGGATGTGTTAAATATAGCCTGATCTTTTTTTGTCTTATAACTGTTGATACCAATAGTTATTCAGAAATTTCTTAGTTTTCTCGCCATTCTTCTTTAATTCACTCCATTTAATGTTGCTCACACACTCTACGAAAACTTGTACAAAAATGCGAAAGTCAAGACAAATACAGGTTGGATAAAAGCAAAGAAACAAACAAATAAACAACAACAAGAACAAAAACAACAACTATGCAACAATTGCAGCATTATGCTTAACATCCAAATGCAGCTTTGGAATATTCATGGTTAAAATACCCCTGGATCCGTGCTAGCGTAGTGGCTAGACATTCGTCTGCTGAGCGAAAGTAAAAGGTTGAAATCAATAACAAGGTTCATTTTTTAAATTCCAAAACTAACCTTGGCTGCCAGGGGGACTCAGCTTTAAATGGGTACCAGAGGTCCCATGTGCCAAACGGCATGAAAGGGCACATTACTTACTTCACTTTCATTTTATTAACTGTGTATGTTGTCCATCCAGGTATAGACACCATCAGTATAATCCCCCCCCCCCCTCTTTTTTTTTCAAAGTATGACTAATTTTTGGCACTTTTCAGTCTGTCCGGACGATAGTGTTATAATGTGCTATGAGAAGGCATGGGATTCACAGCCCATGGCGATGGCGAGTGTGACTAGCCAGACTTGCCTGCGTTAAGAAATGTCTTCCACGACTATAGCAAGGGGTTTCAAGACCGTTGTCAACAATTTTGCTTAGTCTGTTTTTTCTCAGACGTTCAGCTCTCATTCGTTCTGAAATCATTTCTTCCTTCATTCTAATTCCCTTCCTGAAGTTAAGTATGACAAAGCAGTAGGTAAACAAACACTTGGCTTGAAATTATGGCTGTAACGAGATATGGTCACCTACAACTGTTAGCATATAATTTAAGCATAATCTACCTCCCTGTTCTTAAACGATCATTATGGTATTTTGTACCATTACTGGTGCTTGGCAGGAGGATGAGGTTGAGGAGGCCAAGGCCTGAAGACAGTTTTCAAGGCAGTGTGCACACAGCATACAGACGAGAAGGTATTTCTGTGTTACCACGAAAAATAAAATTCCCCTTTTTTTGCAGGGGTTAGAGCTTGTATTTTCCCTTTGTATCTCCTGCCTGTAATAAGTATTGTTTATCACTTATCACATTTGTTACCGTGAAGAGACAGAATGGTAAGATTATAATCTAACATACATGTCGCAGGAAATGAGAAAAGATTGTTTGAGTGAGGCAAACGATTTTGTAAAGGGGAAAATGCCCATGACAGGTACAACCAGTCATGGATAAGTATACAGAAGGCTTGGGGTTATTTAATATAATTCCAGATTATAATGAGAGATACAAGGAAGAAGAAAACGGGAAGATTACGATGAGAAAAAGTACGAAGAAGAAGATGAGGATGACGCAAAAGAAGAAGAAGAAGAAGAAAAAGAAGAAGAAGAAGAAGAAGAAGAAGAAGAAGAAGAAGAAGAAGAAGAAGAAGAAGAAGAAGAAGAAGAAGAAGAAGAAGAAGAAGAAGAAGAAGAAGAAGAAGAAGAAGAAGAAGAAGAAGAAAAAAAAAGAAGAAAAAGAAGAAGAAGAAGAAGAAGAAGAAAAAGAAAAAGAAGAAGAAGAAGTAGAAGAAGAAGAAGAAGAAGAAGAAGAAGAAGAAGAAGAAGAAGAAGAAGAAGAAGAAGAAGAAGAAGAAGAAGAAGAAGAAGAAGAAGAAGAAGAAGAAGAAGAAGAAGAAAAAGAAGAAGAAGAAGTAGAAAGAGGAGAAGAAAAGAGAAGAAGAAAAAGGGGAAGAATGAAAAAATATACACATTTCGGTTCTTAAGGGATTAGATCAATGTGTCTCCTGTCTGCATTAAGTATTTATTGGTAAACAGTTGTTTAATGCATACACTAAAACTTGATTCCAACGATTTAGTCTGTAGTTTCATTCTCTGTGTGGGTTCCCAGAACTCATTTTTTTTTTAGAAAAAAAAAAAAAAAAAAGACTAGTCCCACTGTTCCTAACAACCCTTATTTGAAATCCCACCGTCCCTAACAACCATTATGTGAAATCCCACTGTCCCTAACAACCATTTTGTGAAATCCCACTGTCCCTAACAATGATTATGTGAAATCCCACTGTCCCTAACAACCATTATGTGAAATCCCACTGTCCCTGACAACCAATATGTGAAAGGCCAGTAATTAGGGTTTCGCGAAATTCCGATATGTTGGACGGATATTAGATATACAGCCTAGCTATAAACCACCGTCGACCGCCCATTAAGTGCATCGGCGACCTGGTTGCCCATTGGTTGGCCGGTAGACGACTTCGTCGTCGGTCGCGATTGTATTTAGGTTTTGATCGCAACACACTGCAAGTGTCCTTTTTAGGGCTACTTGGTGGCCAGCAATAATAAGCCCTTATAGGTGTCATACATCAACCTAGTCACAATCATAACCAAAAGCTCCCCCCATATGGCATTTGCTGTGGTGAACGTGACGATTGTTTTACAATGTATTTTTTTCTCAAAGCTAGCCTGCCATTGATCCTTTAAGTGTGAACGCTGAAGAAGATATATGCTGGTGGTGCTGTATTTACTGTTTTGTCACTGGGAAATGTTTCTAGAAGATAAGACGGAGTTAACAAACCTAAAGGTGTACAAAGGCAATTAAAACATTGTGGACATGAATATTTATCAAAAGGCACCTTCAAAGAAAAACGGACAGTGAATCACTAAACATACACTGTATTGGTGATGACTATGATATAATGGAGTAAGTGTGCACTGAAGACAAGTTCCTTAAATAATCTTCTTAGGAGAGTTAGTTAGTCAATAGATTATCCCCATTGCACATCGAGCCATTCAGTCCATAACTGCTTGAATCCCCTCCTAAATAATCCCACATCGTGTAATGGCGGACGACACCAATCCAGTGTTTAATTCTTGTTGTGTGTTACACAGAATACAACAGGTGTAACATTGCATAAACAGTACAGGTGTGTATCTGTGTTACCTGCAGTACAACAGATAAAGTGTACGTTATTTACTGTACAGAAATGTATCCATGTTACCTGCATA